TACTTGGTGGCGAACTCCCTGGTGGAGAGCTACTTGGTGACGAACTGCTTGGGGGAGAACTACCTGGTGGCGAACTACCTGGTGGCGAACTCCCTGGTGGCGAATTGCCTGGTGGCGAACTGCCTGGGGGAGAACTGCCTGGTGGCGAACTGACTGGTGGCGAACTGCCTGGGGAAGAACTGCCTGGTGGCGAACTGTCTAGGGGAGAACTGCCTGTTGGACTCGTCATTTGACCTGCTCCTAGGCGGCCTGCAACTCAGAGGATGGTGGAGCTCCCTGGTGCAGCGCAACCCGACTACAGTCTGCATGAGGTGATTTCCTCTCCTTTGTAGGCGGCGGGAGCTGAGGGACCTGCGAGAACCGAATCAGAGGACCCGGGAGTATTTTCCCGGTGGGGACTCTCCGATGCCTAAGTTAGCATTCTGATTACAGAGAGCTTGGAGAGAAATGAGAGAGCTAGAGAACAGGGGTTACCATCCTTTTTTCCCCTCCCTTGGCTTTGGGGGTCGAAGTCCTTATATAGTGGTGTCTTCGCGGGTTAGGTGGGTGAAAAGCCTTCAAACGGTAAGACTCATCATATCCCGTCAGAACCGGGGTACGATGGTGAACTCGAGGTTGTCAGGCTGACGCTTGTGTCAGGCAGCCAGGTCAGCGCCTGGGCCAGGTTGTCAGGTCGGCGCCTGTGTCAGTCGGCGAGTCGGTGTCTGGGCCAGGTTGTAAGGTCGGCGCCTGTGTCAATCGACGGGTCAATGTCTGGGCTAGGTTGTCAGGTCGGCGCCTGTGTCAGTCGGCGGGTCGGTGTCTGGGCCAGGTTGTCAGGCAGGAGRTCTTCYTGCKATACGCCAAACTACTCTTCTGTACCGAGCTACCCTACAAGTGGCGAGCTGCCCGGGGGAGCTATGCCGAGCTGCTTGTGGCGAGCTTTGCCGAGCTGCCTGGCTCCTTGGTGGCGAGCTCCTTGGAGAGCTACCTAGCTCCTTGGCGAGCTCTTTGGTGAGCTACCGAGCTCCTTGGCGAGCTCCTTGGTGAGCTACCGAGCTCGCGGGGT